TATATGCATTCATTTCTTATTGCAAAATGACTCAGATTTTACAGAAAGTAAATTTCTAAATACCTACCTTTATTAGTATGAAATGTAAACTCGGTAATATCTTGACAAATAATGCTTTTTGGAACTTACAATATTGATAAACCTTCATTATCAACTTTACAAAGTTTAAACCTCCTGATAATTATTATTTAAATATTTCCAAAATTATGATAATTCTTCATTTGAGCATTGTATTTATGATATAAAACCATAAAAATTGTGTTACAGGATCTTTAAATAACAACGTGTGAAGTTAAGTTCAATGTAGAATACTTCCTGTTTAAGTAGGTCGATAAACAGCGTGATAAAATATTGAAGTTATAAAAAGGCTAGATTCTATTTGATAATCTAGAGATATATTTGTACAAATAAGTTACCGCTTTAAATTTTTATATCAATCAGATAGTAAAATGATATTCATAGCGAAAAGTCATCTATAAAGAGCCGATGGTTTAATTTCTTTGCTACCTACCATAATTCGAAACGTCATTATAGTGTTTTCAATGGAAGGGGATATCCGCCAGCGTATGTCTATTGCTAAATTACAATTTTATGTAATTTACTTTCATATGCCCCCTTATTGACAACTTCATTAAAATTGCATATAATCAATTTATAAGTAATTTGTTTTCCGTGTTTCCTATTGCTATTTTTGCAATTCATTCCGATATTCGACTAACTTTTATTTGCACATTAAGATTCCTTGTTTAACATTTTGTACCTTTGTGATCTTAAAAATGTTCATCCGTACAGGGGCGTAACTAGGCGTACTCCTGAACGCCCATGTGTACAAATCAATCCTGTATTCAAAAAAATCACATGTGCTAAAAGTTCTAAAAAAGTGATAAAAACATAGGGGGTAGTGTGGTCGGGGCACATACAGGCCTACTGACTCTTTCGACTTAATCATTATATAAATATTTCATAACATATACAGTATAAATTAATATCTTTTAAAATGATCTATATTGCGATATATTGTACAGATTCAACGGAGGAAAGTTATGAAAAGCTTAAGGTGTCTTGTTCAGAACCTATTCTTGGCCGAGATATTCCCCCAGCATTGGCTTGGTGGCCCGTTTTTGCGCAACGTGCTTCTTATTCGGCGCGCAGGTCGCCCGCAATAATTTTTTCCCAAACGTTTTACTATTCCCGTATCGGCCCTTTTGTGTCCTCTTCTGCTTTTGGTTGTGTGCCTTCTGGGTGCCCTGCTGGTGTGGCTGGATTATGTAGGGGACTGAGTTCTGCCAACGTAGCTTTGAATGTTTGATTTTTAATCTCATCTTTTAATCAGAAAACAAGTAACAAATTGGTGTAATTTCTCAATGGCATATTAATCAATTGATTGAGAGAATTACTTTGCCGTGCCAAAAAGGGCAAAAAAAAAGACAAAGAATGTACAATTCCTTCTCAATATTATGCATTTATTTAAAAGAATAGTAGCATTCTAAAATTAGTTGTTGAGATTAAATTTATCATTCTCTGTGGTCAGCAAAACATTGCGATGAGTCATCAAGCAAGTTACATCATTATTAAAGTCGTACTTATGAATTTACTTTATCATAAATAAAGGTCTTAAATGAGTCCTTTAATGTATTCACATGATCCACATTATCTATGTTATATGCAACAATTTTTAATTAATTTTCTGACATTTCTGAAAGGAGATTTTGAAATATCTTTGCGTGTAATATAACGTGTAATATAACGCGTTTTTTTTATATATACAAAATGTATTGTAATATAATGAAATATTTAACAGTCCAAAACACTCACTGAACTTAATCACAATTTTCACACATTTATCGTCCTTAAATTAATATATTGTTACAACAGTTGCTACTTATGAAGGTGCAGAATGACAATCTTTTCTCAGAGAGCATTGGGGCATTGTGTGAATATACTCATCTTTGTCGAGAGTCTCAGCATTAGCTGTGGCTTATGTGATAGACTAACGTGAATTTGACAATTCCGTCAAGCGGACCCGGCTTTTCTAAAGAAAGCAAGGCTCTGTACCCAAACATGACATATAATCAATTCAATTAAAACAAACGCTTGCTTTAGTTTTCGATGTTTCTAGCTTTTTTTTATTTAAAATTTTCTGAATATGGGAAATTTGTTGCTATAACATCAGTTTGAAAGTCGCAAAATGACAATTTTTTTCTGCAAAAAAGTCGCTTATAAATATAAAAAAAAGTTCTATGGTATATGTAACGTACTTGTTCATTTTACCTATTTTAAAATTAACAAAAAGAGGTTGAAATTATTACCAATTTGTTGTCAATATAGCCTCTAGATAGTCACAAAATGCCAAAACAATTTCTCGGGGGAGGATGCCCCCGAATCCCCCTAGATAAAGAGTACATACCAAAATAGCTCAGTTACGCCCCTGCCGTAAAATTATAAACTGAAAGTTATGTATTTGTAAGTTCATATGACTTTGTTACTATTGAATGTGACAAGTAATCAACAACAACTTAAAGATATACTATGCTCATCTTTTGGTAAAATATTTTTATCTTAGAAATGTATTGAAATCCATGAAATTCTTACTGAATATGTTTAATTTGAATAAAATAATGAATAAACTATGTGTGGGAAGCTGCATTCCCTATTACGGGTCAAGTAAAGTTGGTCTTTTCTTAAAAAAACTGCCAGTTTTTTTAATGACACTATATATTCATATGGTGACCACATATAGTGTGTAGAGTTCAAAACTTATCATATCTACCTTAAATGAAGTCCAAACATGTTTATTTTATACATACAAAGAGACTGTGTAGCAATTATTAATATTTTTAAAAATCAAATTTGAGCATAGTATATCTTTAAGTCTTTTATGTTTCTTAATTTGTTTGTATCGGCTCTTTATTCAACATCATTAATGTTTGCTGCCACATGACTGTTGTTTAAATTGAATATTCCAGAAGGTAATCATTACCAAAATGATTGATTGAAAAATATGTTTAAACTTCAGGAATAGAGGTATTTAACATGATGCATAGTCTTGTCAATCGGTTGTTAAAAGCACAATTTTATGAAAACCAATAAAGAATTTAAGATTGCAAATTGTTACACACGGGAGAGATAACTGTGGAAGAACAATTTTGATCTCCGGTATTTTCCGTGGTTTTACGGTAAAATAGTAATTGCTTACCCGTGTATTTTAGATGAAATGCTAAATATTGACAAAATAAGTGAATTAGTAAATATTTCGTTTTCAGTAGTAAAATTCTCCAGTGCACACAATAAGTACAATTTTTGACCGGAAGTCATTAAATTTTATGTTTTTATATTGGTAAACGAAACTCTCGTAAAAATGGGTCAAATAATGAAGATTTGCGATAGAATTCTGGTAATGTGTTTATATAATAGCTTCTTTGACAGATTTATTTACACAGACAGGCCACATCTCACATTTTCAAACATGTATGAAAATATACATATAAAATAGGATTATATTAAATTTAACTGGCTTAACGGAATAAAGGAAAATAACAAAAATAAATTATTCATAGCGGCTATATGATTGAGAATATTGTTGAAGTAAATAAGTAGAGAAAATAAATCAAAGGGTCCCAAACCGCTTGAATGAAGCCCGAACAATGTTGGCAACAAAAAGGTTGTAAGAAGTTGTCTAAACCACCACATTGTTGATAAATACATGTATGTGTACAGTATATGCCTTTTTCAATAATTTTACCGATGATTTTCGGCCTTAGGTATTATAACAAGATATCGGATAGATCTTTTAGAAATAGATTCATCTTTAATGAAGTAGTTTTTGATGAGCCGATGTAATTTTTGTATTATTTACAAGTTATAATTATCAAAATACTTTGTTTTAATCTAACTACCGCTTCATACATTAATGTCAAGTCAATTAAAGTCCGTGATTGACCCGATAGTACGGTGATCCATTCGGGCTAACACTTTTTCTCTTAGAACCCTGACAGTACGATGGTAAAGGTGCGACAGTGCGGTAGTGACAGTGCGACGGTGGTGACAATACGGCAGTATGATGGCGCTCTCGCACTGTCACCATCTTACAGCCATGTTTCTCGCTTTTTGTTCTTAGAGAAAACACGATGTTGGACAGTACGATGGTGACAAGTACGACAGTACGATGGTGACAGTACGACAGTACGATTGACTGTCACCATCGTACTGTCGTGTTTCTCGATCGTACTTTCGTATTGTCAACATCGTACTGTCACCATCGAACTGTCACCATCGTACTGTCGTACTGTCACCATCGTACTGTCGTACTGTTACCATCGTACTGTCACCATCGTACTGTCGTGTTTTTCGATCGTACTTTCGTATTGTCAACATCAAATCCGACGTGGTTGCCAATTCTTAGGAAAATATCATCTTTTCCGTAGCCTTTTGTAGCAATTGGTAGTACAAAGCTATAAAGCATATTTTGTTTGACTGTTAAAAGTTATGCAATATCAAATTTTAATTTTAACCGTGAACAAGCTTAGAATTGTCTATGAACTTTTATAATGGGTGATGATCAATTGCTCTACACAGATTGCGCGTGCGCTAGAATATACTACATCCGGTTTAATAGCAATTAACCGCGTCGTTAACAGTCTACAGTCTCGTATTACTTTAAAACATTTTGATAAAAACATTTTAAATAACACAAGAATTAGTATTGTATAAAACAGAGATATCTATTTCTTTAACATAGGGCCAAATTAAAAAATGTAAAACATTTCTAAGATGACTCTATTAAATACAGAAGTTCTTCAATTTGTTTTCAATTATGTTCGGATTATCTCTGTAGGGTAAAAATGTCTAGTGCGTCAGTTATACCTCGTATCTCAGGTATACTATAATAATCTAAGTTGTATGTATAATGTGTTAAACTTTAGCTTTCAATCTAGGAAGTTTAAATAAGACAACTTCAAAATATTTGTCAGGTAGAGGTATACATTTAGTGATATTATATATGTTGACAGCATGTTTGTGTTTTGTTTTGGGATATTTTTCTTCTTGAAAGGTAAATAACACATTTTTCAAGCTTATTCTTTTAATCGTATACAGTGATAACGTGTTACCTTTTTACATTATTTAAATCTCCTTCATTAGTTTAATACCAATGCCTTTAAACATTACGACAATACATAGAGTGACTCTTCATGATTTGACGCATAATATCTTCATAACTGTATTTTAGGCCTGCACGTACACGTTTTTGAATACCCAAACTCTGAATTGGTATTAAAACATTATTTTATATAAAATGAAGTTAAAAGTATAGAGAGATTAAGGATTAAACAGAAACATATATATACATTTTCAAATTGTCAAGAAAATTAACATGAATCTCTGGGGGTGTGCTGCTTTAAGCCAATCTTTTAAACTATTTCTTAGTATGCCGAAATCGAAAATGTTTAAGAAATAATTTTTCATAACTCATAATGTACTACTTGTGCTAATTAAAATAATGTTCTCATTATGAATTTGTTGATATTTATTTGCTGTTTTTATGTGCTATATGACTATAAGTACAAAGCGGGATATTTCACCTGAAATGGTTTATTATAGAGTGTACAAAGTACCCACCACCTATTTCACTATGAACTAACTTTGATAACAATAACAAAACATCTAGCTACTATAACTGAATATAAACAGACATGCACTTGTATCATAAAAACTATGTTTATTTTTGTAAATTTTGATGTTTTACATGATTTGTTGTAAGCAGTCGGTGGGCTAAGCGCCGCATCCCTTATAGGGTGTCTACCAATCAAGTATTTAATATAGTTTATTTTCATTGTATTGTTATTATTATTTTAGTTCTCAGTCACTGTTGGGGTGACCACTTTCTTTACATTAGAGATTAAAAATAGTTTATAATCAGTACATTATTTCTATCTTGACTGTTGTTAAATACTACCAGCCCAAGTTCCATTGGACCTCTCAACAAGGAGCTTCTAGGCGTGTATTTAACTCTTGTTTGTTTGTAAATTTTGACGTTTTACCTATATTACATTAAATTTGTAATTGTATTTATAATTAACATCATATCTACATATTGGACCACTTTCTGTCTTTACAAATAAAATTTTTGTGACATGCCAGTATGGAGCAATTCAGCCTCTACCCTCAGAACACAAATTAATATGTTCTGAGCAGCATTAGCTAAATCAACTTAGCGTGCCTGTCCAAAGATGTGTCTATACTTGTGGGGCAGTTGCATGTTAAAGCTTGTCGTGCTTTACAGTTCCACACTCATAGATAATTCCTCGGCATTTCAATCCCATTTTATAAAGTGGCGATCTTTAATGAGATACTTTATCTAATTATATCCATAGTAAATTAAATTTTATTTGTTAATTGTATATCTTTTATGAATTTGAATATCGCAGTGCGAACTTTACCAGCTATTTCAAACGGCGGATCCAAGAGTATTTTTTTAATTTATTGATACTATTCCAAGTTTTAGTAAGCATGATTCCAATTCTTTGCGTTGCACGGAATGACACGCGCAATTGAAAAAACACGTGTTCAAGCGTTTCTGGTTCATTACACGCGGGACAATTTTTATCGGCTGAAAATGAGTGACCTTTATGTTTTAAATGGTTAAGTTTTAAGCGCGTATAAATTTCATCTAATTTTCGATTATGGTGGTATGATACTAGTTTTTTGGGCGGTATCTTGTTTATTTCTATATTATTTATTTCACAATGTTCTTTCCATAATTTATTTCTTTTTTCTATCACTTTTCTATTAATAATACTGTATGCTTCTTTTATACTAAGAGCCATGTCTGATGGGATGCCATCAATGCTTGCATATTTTGCGCATTTATCGGCTTGTTCATTCCCGACAAGACCGATATGACTGGGTACCCATACTAGCGTTAACATAAGGTTTTCCATTAGTAACGCAGAACTATTTCTTAGAATATTATTGCACATAGCTGGTTGATTTTTTGAGAAGCCGGCTTTGATTGATTTTAGATTTTTGATTGAACACTTAAACTATCTGTAAATATCGCTGTTTTATCAAATTTTTTCTTTCTTATCATTTCAATTGCTTTAATAATAGCTGTCATTTCACATGTATAAATAGAAGCGTATTTGTTATTTTTTATTTTAGTTTCTTGAATTATTACTCCATTTTTGTCATATTCTATAATTCCTGCACCTGCTAAACCAGCATCCGGGTCTTTACTTCCATCAGTATAAATATGATAATGGTCTCTATAATTTTTACTTATATGTAAGTTAGCTGTGTCTAGACTTTCTGTATTTATATTGCTTTTACTGATTTTACTTGTTAATGTTAACTCAATGTTAACTGGCGATATTTCAATTACTGTTTCATAGCACGGTTCGGCTATAGTTAAATCATCAATTTCATATTCGTTAATCAATTGTGTTATTCTTTGTGCATACGGCATTTTACACTGTTTTTTATTATTCTTTTTTATAAAGTACGGACTTTCTCCTATTTTATCATTGATTGGCATTTTATCCCCTTGACTGATAGTGCGAGCCCAATAATATTTTAGTGCACATTTTTCTCTTTGTAAATCAAGTTTAAGTGTGTTAGTCTCCAAGTGTAGTTTTTCAGTGTTTGTAGAAGGAAATGCACCTGTTACTATTTTCAATGCTTTGTTTTGCATAACTTGTAACCTATTTTTTCGGCATCAGAAGCAGAGTTATAGATAATGCTACCATAGTTTATTTTACTCAATATTAATGTATGATAAACTTTATGTAATGTTATTTATCTGTGCCCCACTCTTTGCCGCGTATTGCTTTCATTACATTTAGATCCTTTTGACACCTAATTATTAGTTCATCAAATATCAAAACTTTTTATTGAGTTATAAGGCCACCGGCCCATACACATATAAAGATTTATAATACAAAATTTACATCTGTTCATCAATATGGGCTTTCCACGTTAAGTGTTTGTCTATTGTCATGCCTAGGAATTTAACAGTTTTTTGATAATTTAATTTTACATTTCCTAACATTAATTTTGGAAAATTTTTATTATTAAATTCATTTAATTCTTTTTTGTTTGAACGTTTTTCAATAAAGATAGCTTGTGTTTTTATTGGATTTATAACGAAGCCATACGTTTTACTCCATTTGTCCACTTCATTCAACAATAACTGCATTTTCTTAACTGCTAATTGTTTAGAAACAGAAATTATCCATGCGACAGAATCAGTGAAACTTGGCATTTGTTGTTTTATTTTGTGCATTAAATGAGTCTATTGTTTCGCTAAAGGTGTTCATAATTAGACTAAAAATTATTGGACTAAGTACACTTCCCTGTGGGCAGCCATTCACTGTTTCGACTATTACTGAGTATGAGCCGTTAAATTTAACCTTAATGGATCTTGTACCAAGAAAATCTTTTATCCATCGAAGCATGCGTCCTCTTATCCCTATTTTGTCTAAGTAATCAATAGCAGCTCCAATCCATAACTTATCAAATGCATTACTTAAATCAAGAAATACAGCTAATAAATGTTTGTTATCACTCGTCCGCTTCAAGTCGGTTGAGATTATCATCCCAAGCGTGATGAGATCTGCACCCAGACTGAGCGGCGGAGAATAAGTTATTGTTTTTTAAAATGATTACACAGTCGAGGTTTAATCATTTTTTGCATTAACTTTGTAAAAGTTGATGTTAATGATATAGGCCTATATGATGCCGGGTCATTTTTTTCTTTATTTGGCTTAAGGAGCGGTATAATTATAGCCTCGCCCCAGCTTAAAGGGGTTGTTCCATCTTTCCACGATTTGTTAAATAGACTTAATAAAGTTAATTTAATTTCATCAGGGTAATTTGTTATGATATCATAATGTATCTTGTCTTCCCCAGGAGCTCCAGATTTACAGTTTTGGAGGGCCTTATTCATTTCAAAAAGAGTGAATTCTTTGTTATATATTATATTCTCAAATTCTGGCTCTGCATCTACCTTAGTTATTGCACAACGCGTGCCCTCTAGTTTTTGCATTATAAATTCTTGTGTATAGCCCTGGTCACTGTTAGCGTTTTCGAATCGTTTAACCAGCGCGTTCGCTTTTTCTCCTGGATATGTTATTATTTTATTATTTATTTGAAAAGCTGGCAAAGATGATTGTTCTTTACCTTTAATTTTTCTTACAAATTCCCATAATTCCTTAGAGTTTGTTTTAAGTGATTTTACTGCAGAATTGTTCCCACGATTGACGTTTAGCTTGTTTAATAGTTTCTTTTGCAGCAGCTCTAGCATTTTTCCATAGTTCATATTTTATAGGTGTCTTTTCAGCTTTATAGTTTCTTCTTTTTTGTTCTCTTAATTTAATAGCTTATGTACATTCATCACTCCACCATAATTTAGGGGTTTTGTATTTCATAGTTTTGGATTTAGATTTAGGTATTGTCTGCCGCAATATTGAATTGAGTTTGTCTAAGAATGATTGAAATATAGTATTGATAGAACCATCTTTTATGTCATAGTTTAGTTCTTGACGGCATAAATGTTTAAAGCTAGTCCATTGATTTTCTGTAGCTTTTTCTGTAAGCCATTTTTCTAATATTTTGATATTGTCTCTATTAATTTCAGTGTTTATTAAAGTGATTATAGGTAGGTGATCACTACCCATAGTATCATCTAAAACTAAAAATTCTGATAAAATAAATAAATTTGATGAAACTATGGAAAGATCAATCGCGGAGTCTATGTGGGAATCGCAGTTACTAACTCTTGTTACTTGCCCATCATTTAAATAACAAAAATTATAATCATTTAAAAATTCTAGCAATTCCTCAGACTTGGCATCCTTCCTATCGTCATGTTCGGGATTCCAGCATGGATGTTTTAGATTAAACTCTCCTACTATTATAACATTGTTTATGTTACTTCCACAAATATTTTTGAGTTAATATTTGATTTATATGCATAATAGTTTATGACAGTGAAATTTTCACTTTGGCCTATTACATTTATTGCTACAAAGTCTATATCACTATCATAATTTATAATCTTTTCTTTAAAAGTTATATCATTTTTAACATATATGCATACACCGCCGCCAGGATGATCTGCATCTAGTCTATTTTTATAAACAGGCTTTTGGTAGCCTTTCAATTTAAATGGAACTTGTTGTTTCTTGTATACAAATTACGTCTATCGGGTTCTTAAGATTATCTAAATAATTTTGTAATTCATTACAATTTATACTTTTATCTGCTTTCATCCCGTTCATATTCCATGACAAAATGCCGAGGTCTGATTTTATTATTGTTGTAAGTATATCAGAAAATACAAAAATCTTGTCGGGCTTTTACAGGTTGAACAGCTAGCGGACTTTCACAGGAGTGATCAGTACCATGCCTTGTTGTGCAGATCGCGGCCATGTTCCTTTTTGGTGCACAGATTGACCGCAGCGCTAAAAATAGAAAAAAATCAATAAAACTTCAAAGAAGTAATCAGTATCATCCCTTGTTGTTGTGCACATCGCCGTCATATTCCGCTTCGCTGCACAAAATGGCCGTCAGATCTAAAAATAATCTGTAAAATATTTTCCTGTCCTGCTCTCATAGGCCAAAATTCTGGTAGGATTTTGATGAAACTTCACAGGAATTATCAGTACTATCCCTAGAAGTGCTAATCAATAGCATGTTTCGCTTCGCTGCACAAAATAGTCGCCAGAGCTAAACATATAAAATTGTTGCCTGGCTTTTACAGGGTTGAACTGCTTGCATGTTGCAGGATTGCAATACATAGTTGTGCACATCGACGGCACGTTCCGCCTAGCTGCACAAATTGGCCGCAAGAACAATACATAGATTTTTTTCCAGCTTTCACAAGTCGAATTGCATGCCGAATTTCAATGAAACTTTACAGTTGTGAGAAGTAACATCTCTAGTTGTTCATATCGCCGGCACGTTCCGTTTTGCTGCACAAAATAGTCGCCAGAGCTATCAATAGAAAAATTGTGTCTGAGTTTCACATGTCAAACTCCTTACAGGAGTGATCAGTACATTCCCTTGCTTTAGGAGACATATGCTTTGTGACGGAATATCCCTTCTAGTTTATATTTAAACTAAAATGAATATCGATATTATTTTCGGCATAAACAAAATGTAAGGTATTGAAAATGCCAAATTGAGTAGAAAATGATTATACTGCCTAATCATCCTATTTGTTAATTGAGTAGAAAACATAATATTATAAGTGCATCTATAGTTGAACATTATCAAAATTAGGAATATTATATTTTCCGATCCTTAAAGATCGTTCAGCACGATATTATTGTTGTGCTTGTGGCAATTTAGTTCCTTCTATTTGGCTATTTTGTAGCTGATAGGATCTTTACTTGAATACTGTTTAATCACACCTAGAATATATAACATGCTTTTTAACTTTAACTTTTGACAGGTGATTTGAGATATTAAGGCTTCATAACCTCTAATCCCCTTTTCTAAGTTCCATTTATTTAGTTCCGTCCATTGACTTCCCGTTTAGGACACACGCATTTTTAACTTTTGGACCTTACGCCGCTTTTTATGGAATGACACTAACGTTTCAATATTCCAAAATGAATCATTCATGTACTGCTTAAACCGGTGAAAGGCAGCATGGACGGTAACTTGCACTGTTCATTACCGTCCATGAACAGATCCATGAACAGATCCAATCAAACCGGGTCTGCAACATTTTCAATTTTGTCGTTTTGTGCGTTCTTTGGGGATTCTTGTTTCTCTCTATATCAAACAAATGGTTTTCTGATAGATTAAAGGTAGCCTAAGAATTTCAAAAAGGAACATGCACAAAAAATATCATTCTAGGTGTCAGCAACTTGCAAAATGCGCTACTGTTTACAAACCGTCCAGAAATCCCCAGAATGTATCAAACATTAAAAATAACTGACAACATTTTTGTTGTTGTACGCGATACATGGCTTATGCAGTGATACCATTAGTCCGATATTTTGTTAAAAATAAGTTTCAGGACAAAGTACAAGCCTTGCCATTGCTCCCAAAGTTGTTGATGAAGGAAGTCCTCAGACACTTACATGTATGTACAGTGGTAGTGAGACAGTAGCATCAGTATCCTGGTTCGCTAATGACATAACTCAAGGAAATTTGAGAGTTAATGGACTTTGTACCAAACTATTTTGGAGACATGAGAATCTTCATAGTTGGTCATGTGATGTCAGCAGAAGAACGTTTAAGCTTACTATATTGAGTGTAACAAGAAATAACAGGAGCGACATATGGCAATGTGATATTGCATTGGAAGGAATCCAAGTACGTTCAAAAAGCAATAATGTCACACCTTCTGTAAAAGGTAATATTCGTTTTCTATTTAGGTCCACGTTTATGCAATTACATTTTAACGTTATTCAAACAAGAATATGAATATGTAAACAGAAATAGTGGGTATACATCTTACTCTACCCTTTGCTTCTTTGCATGGTATTCTACATGTATATATTGCATACCAATTGTCTATTTTCAAACAATTTAATACGTTGACTCCTTTTATTGTTTTGTCTGACTCTGTCATTGAATTGTTAAAGAAGAAATTCATATGAAAGTTTTCTTCTAGGGTATGAAGGATTATATAACATATGATTTTCAGTTCTAAACTATAAGGATTTAAGTTCATATTTCTCAATTAAACATTTGTTCGTGTGAATAACCCAGTTTGTGAAAAGAAGTATCAAGTTTCATTTTTCTTATGACCGTTTCAACATTTCAATTCCAACAGCAACTCTGCTTATTATCTTCTTGTTTATTTTCGGTAGCATATAGAAAAATATATGTGTCCAAATGCGTAAGGAGAGTTACTATCAATTAAATTACCGAGTTATTGACCGACTTTCATTTCAGTTCCTATAACAACTGTAGCAATGACAATACCTCAGAGTGACACAATTACAATACTAGAGAAAACAACTCAACAATTTAGATGTATTACATCAGGTGGTTTACCAGAACCGATTGTAAAATGGTATAATGATTCTAGAACACCAGGAGATATAAGTGATGATAAGGAGATAACAACTTTTATAATACCTTCATACAGAAATACAAGTGATGATCTTGTAATAACAACAAGTACGTTGACATTGACCGCATCAAAATATGACAACCAAATCAACATTTATTGTAGTGCCTATAGTTCTTCAGATCAAACACCATTAATTTCAACACGTAAACCGAAACTAAATGTGTTATGTAAGTAACCTTTGCTCTTTAGATAATTATTTGTGAACTAATTTTAATATTTCAATACAATACCCTTTTTGAAAATCATATATTTTTCCTTCTGTACAAACTTAAGAATGAAATCAAGATATTTAAGATGTTGTAGTACGTTTCATATAAAAACAGTTCTTGTTGATACTATTTTTTTAAGTCAGATTAAATATATGGTTTACCGAGATTTAAATATGCTTCGGAATAAAAACGGAAAAATGGTTCAATATTTAAGAAACCGAAAGTAGTTTAATACTTGGCAAACTATTAATATAAATTATTTGCCCTGTTTAAGGTTTGAAAATTGATATAAAAAGTATTGAAAATATTCTATTTAAACCTTAATGTAATTACTTTCTACGTCATTTGAACATGCCAATAGTAAACAAATATTGATTATTCAAAGTGTATTTGACTCTTCCATTGATAACTTATCAGTTTGAATGTTTACTCGTATACTTGATTTAATGGATTTATTACATACCTAACATATTAAAAAATAGTTAATCCATGTAACGCTTAGTTACTTTCACTGTCGCTTTTAATATATTTTACATTCTCTTTGAGGGGAATGCTTATAGTTTGTTTAGAATAAGTATTAGCAGTGTATCAACAGCTAATGCACCACCATGCATTTAATTGGACGGACTAGAATACTTTGGATACCACAAATAAAATTAACATTTGAATTAAAATGCGCTGAATGTTTCTTTCAAGTATAAAAGAGTGTGTTCTGTTAATACGCTGTATTGTTATAGTGACAATGTTGTTGCTGCTGTTGTTTCGTATTTGTTATTGTTAAGATATATAATGTCATGGGGTTTGGGGTATAAGATTGTAAATTAGAATTCGGGAATAATAATTATTAACAGAATAATTTGAATATTCTTGGTATTGGTCCACTACACAATGTTTCTTGCCAAATGCCTAACCTCTAGCCTATGTCACTTCAGAGAGGATTTTTTTATTTTACTATATATACATATAAGGAAAACCTGTGACCCTCGGGCCAGGGCCAATTTTGACACTTTGAGCAAAATTTGAATGACACTAGTGGCGAAATTTATTTGAACAATTGTAGTAGAGGATCTATAAATGATATTATTTACCAAATACCAAAGGTTTAGGTCTTGTACCTTCAGACAAGAAGTTCATAATGAAAATCAATATTCCTTTGCTCGGGTGATATTTTTACACGTTGTGGCGCCGTTATATGTAGCAACACCGCTAAATGTCGTAAAATCGCCTGCCGTTAAATGTCGCAATGGTAACGTTAAATGTCGCACGATTTTCCCATACCATTAAATGTCGCTACACTACCGTTAAATGGCGCAAAATTTTAATTCATGTAAAACAAGAAGCTGGTGCTATTATTTTATTATTACCATTATGTGTGTAATCTGGGGACAAACTGTCTATAATGTAGTAAATGATTTGCTGCAGTATTTAAATTATTTGATTGAAATGAAGTCATCTTAGTCGGTATTATAAATCGACGACCGTAACTTATTCAAAAAGCCCCTTGATGATTAAACACATTTGTATACGTTTTTGTCTCCCGCCTTTTTTTTTTAAAAAAAAGCGGGACATATAAAATGGCTACGTCCGTCTGGCCGCTCCTTAACTCAGTCGTTCATCAAGGGATTTTGAAATAACATATGTTCACAAATTTAGGACGACCTGTCATGCGAAATAACCAGACCTCCACGGTGGTCCCACTTGGAGATCCGATGTCAACATTGTCTGATGGAGGGTACAATTCGTGTCGGGTTCCAACTTTTATGTTCTACAAGGGATTTGAAACAATTTGGCACAAATGCTTACTATCTAAGACAACGTCCTTATGATACAATGGTCACAGTCATCATTGTTTGATGGGGAGTGTACTTCTTGTCCAATCCATACCGTTTTCATCTATAAAAGGATTTTGAAATAATATGACACACATGTTTATCATAATAGGACCACATGTCATACATAACACCCAGAATCCTGCCTCCAAGGTCAAGGTCACACTTAAAGGTCAAAACTTAAAGTGGTCTGTTATAATGCCTTTTTGATTTTTTCACTCATCAAAATATTTTGAAATAAGTTTGAGCAATATTCACCATATTAAGACAATGAGTCATGCGCGACACTCTGACCCCTAACAAGTTCAAGGTCACATTAAGAGATCAAAGCCAAAGATGGTCTGTGTTTTCCTTGTCCAGAGAAAATCTCCGAAAGTATAATTGTTTCCCTGTATGTACTTATTTTCAGTGAAACAAACTCCTCAAATGTATTTCTTTTTACACATACACAGGAGTTGTCTCATTATAATATTATTTCTATGATGGATTTGTTGTTGCATGTGCATTTATGAATATTTTGCAGTGAAACTCAAACTGTCAAAATAATACTATTGTGTATTTATTATATAATACTATTGTGTGCTCATTGTAATACTTCCTTTTGGCGGGGGACGTTGGCAGTTGTTGCGGTCACACTTACCCCTGCAGCACTACGGTTTTTCCTATCTTTCCACCCAGGATGCGCTCCGAAAAATCCAGACAGAGCCCAGCAATGGTTCATGGTCGTTCCCGGATGACGCCGGAAGAGCCGCAGATGACCCAGGCAGAGCCTCGGTCGATCCAGGCAGAGCCCCCGGCAGAGCTCAGGACGATCCAGGCAGAGCCCCGGTGGATTGAAAACGTACGAAAATGATAACAATTATACAATAATTTTATTTTATACAATATGTATTTTTCCAGAATAGTAATTTATGATGATTTTCTGAAAAATCCTCATGCAAGACTGGATAGAAGGGAAATAGGAAGGGTTGTAATACAAACAAGTTCTATCATCGCAAATTGTCGTTATTCTTTTGAAATGAACCAGGCTTTGCCAGGACTCTACCGGGATAAACCGTAGCTCCATCGTCATGCTCCGGGACTCTGCTGGCATCATCCGGGGCTCTGCTTGCATTCATACGGGCTCTCCCGGCATTCATCGGGGTTCTTCCGTAGCTCTCTCGGCTATATCATACCCCGGACTATCCCCGGTTTGTGCCGGCAGAGCTACAGTGCTTCCCCGGTGTAACCCCGGTCGTTCCCGACAAAGCTAAGGATGAAGCCGGAAAAGCTATACTTCCCGGACCACCCTGGTAATATTAAATATTTTATTCCATCCGGGGTCGAATGCCGAATGTTCCCGGATAATCCAGGACGTTGACGCCAGATTTACGAATGTACTCCGGTTGTTCACGGTCGTTCCCGGATCACCCCGGACGTCTACCGGGGCTCTGCCGGGATGTCAGTGAGACTGTAGCTTAACTCTGTTAAAAATCTTAAAATTATTTGTATAATATTATAGATATTATCATATTGATACAGTCTGATTACAGTTTTATAAATTCGATTGATATATCTGATTTTTTTTTCATTGCCAGTAAATATGTGTTTATTTAATAGGAAATTATTGTGCGTTAAGAAACCATCTATGTGCCAAACGGCCAAAATCACATATTTGGCGATTTTAGCACGTACGAATTCAAGTAGCAAGTCAATGTGTAAGTACGGTGTGCCGTAAGGGTCATCACGAAGCAATAACGATTTTGAAAAGTCGGAATAATGAAATTACGATGTTGCATGAACAAAGTCAATGGTAGGATGATGAAAAGTCGATGTGCAATGGTGAAAAGTCGAAATAACAAAGTCACGATGGTGAATACTCGAAATGATTTCGTTTTTTCAACATCGTACTTTCGACCTCTCACCATCGTTGTAATATTATTTCGAAACATTAACGTGGAAACATAATTTTTCTAATCATTATATTTGGGACTATTTTCTTATATTTTATTGCAAAAATGTAGCTCACGGTACATTAGTCACATACATTTGATATTTACTGACATTTATTGTTAGTTTAATATACATTAAGTACATGCGACTGTGAATTGTCTCGTTAGTTTATGAAACCGTCTCATTTTAAAATTTCCATCGGCTTTTCATTGCGATCACTATTAATGCCTTGATAAGTCATTCGCATAATTAAGGCATTGGACGGGGAGGAGATATGTGATTGAATTCATTTTACATGTTATTACTTTAGGCTTTTGTTTTGCTCAAAAATTATGAGGGACTGTCGTGGCGAAATGAATATGATCACTCTTATTTTGCTCATGAGTGAACTCGTCGCAGTCATATTGATTGCATCATAACTAGATCCAATCGTATTTGTCAATCAAAATGTATATGGAGCAAGTCACATAGTAATTTTGGTGAAAAAAAGGCAACATTTTTTTTCCAAAACGTTTGCACTTAACGTGTTCGATTCTAACATATTTTCTTTAAAAACTAATTATGAAAATGTAAAATTCTTTCATAAAATGAAGCCTGTTGATATAGGATTTGTTTTTAAACTGGCCTTCAGAAAAAGAGAAATTAACGGCGATCCACGTGAAAAGGTATCTAGTGCAGTTAAATCCTGTATTCCGTTTCTGATAGTTTGGAGCTGTTGAAATTAATGCTTAATTTGCAGAAAAGAAGTCCATATGGGTGTCTCTCAGAAGCTATAAGCACAACAAAATTACATGAAAATTGTAGACTCGGTTTGATCGAGTCTGTACATGAGGGATAATGAAACAGTGCAACATCCCTCATATCCCTAGCTTCGATGAGCTGTACTTAATTTTCAGCACTTAAAAGTGCTGGAATCAATTAGGGATTATTGGTGTTAAAAGCCATTATCAGTGACTGCATTGAAGACCAGTTGAAATTTCAGGCAATTTTATTTATATCACAGCGGAGTGTATATTTACATAATAACAGAAATTAAGAATACAATAAGTCAATTGAATTTATATTACTTATAACAGAAACATGTGTAGCAAAAAATAGTATGAATGCTTTGAAATATAATGATTAAAGCAAACAAATTTCAACAAAACACGGTCATCTTAAGAACCTTTTTAAACATGTTTCTGTTTCATTGGACAG